GAGGGAGGAACTGCCCAGCACCACGTAGGCCTGGGAGATGCGCGTGAAGCGCTCGGCGGCCTCGGCGCTCCCCGAGTTGCGGTCCGGGTGGTAGAGGAAGCTCTGCCGGTAGTAGGCCTCCTTGATTTGCGCCTGCGTGGCCGTGGAAGAGACGCCGAGCAGCTCATAGAGCGCCGTGCGAGAGTACGGGCTGTCGCCCCGGGCATAAGTCTTCGCGCCCGGGCCCAGGCCCCACGCCAAATGCTGGGGAGATTTCCGGGCCGGCCACAGCCGCCACCACAACAGCCGCGGCCACCTTAGGGCGCGCGTGGCGGCCATCTTGAATGGGTCGGACGGGCGGTGCAAGGCAAGCTGGCCAATGGGAGGCTCGGGCTGGTCTCCCCGCCGCCAATCGGGTGAGAGAGGAGGCGGGACAGGGGGGGAGCATGCGTACCAGCAGGCGGTCGCGGGGCTGATGACATAAAAGCCGGACTCCGTCGGACGCCCGGAGCCGGCGTGCTGCTGAGGCGGGAGGATGGCTCTGCGCGCCCGCAGACCCGAGCACGGCGGCCCCCCGGAGCTGGTGAGGCCTGTGACCCACGGGCGCCCCCTTGTCCTCCCCTGGGACTTCCGAGTCTGGCTTCCTCCCTCCGCTTACCGTTTCTCTTGGTCTTTCTTGCAGTTTTACGACCAGAAGGAAGCCCGGAAATACGTTCGCAAGTGAGAGGAGCGTGGATGTTGCGCGGCGGCGCGGGGGGTCGGGAACCGGCGGGTCGTCCCGATCGTGGGCGCCGCTCGGAACGCGCCAGAACTTGGCGGCGGGGGAAGGGAGGGCCTTCGGCTGTCCTGTTTCTGCCATGGGCGAAGTCAGCTTGAAGTGAACTCGCGAACCCTTTGGGCCTCGGCACCTCAGCGTTAGGGTGGGGTGATTGTGTCTGCTTTCCTTAGGTTTTCCGAGTTCATTATGACAGGTTGTGCGAAGCGTGCGCTCAGATAGGCCGTGGTCGCAGGTAAGGAGTCAGGACCATCGGAGGAAAGGCAGTGATGCTCCTTTTTGGGGGGGGCGGAGTCTCACTCTGTCGCCCAGGCTGGAGGGCGGTGGCGCGCTCACGGCCACCGCAGCCTTGACTCGCTGGGCTCAGGCGATGCTTCCCCTTCAGCCTTCCAGGCAGCCGGAACTGCAGACACGCGCTACCACGCCCGGCTGCTTTGTTGTAGAGACGCGGTCTCGCCAGGGTGCCCTGGCTGGTCTCGAACCCCCCTCCCCGGGCTCAGGCAGTCCTCGCGCCTCGGCCTCCCAAAGTGCTGGGATGACAGGCTTGAGCCACCGCGCCCGGCCAGGAAGTAATACTCATAGGCTGCTTGTTGTGTCTCCCCATTTCCATCCCGTCACTATACCTTGATGACAACTGTCGTAGGTATGGTCTGACTTTCATAGAGTGTGGTTATTTGTATAAATACGGAGTGATCTGACGGCTGCTTATTGTGTCTCCCCATTTCCATCCCGTCACTATACCTTCATGACAACTGTCGTAGGTATGGTCTGAATTTCATAGAGTGTGGTTATTTGTATAAATACGGAGTGATCTGACAGGTAAAGGCTAGAACGGGGACTTCCGGTCCCGCTCCTTCAGATTCGCTGCTCTATAGAAAATTTGGCAGACACCTAGTCTCTCCTTTTTGTTCAAGTGGAAGTCTAAGAGAGTGTCAGCAGAAATTTCTGTCCCATTTGTGTCATTATGCCAAATATAAACTTTTTTCCAGCTGCAGAACCTTTTGAAAACTTTGGGAGAGGGGGTGGTTTGGCTCTCATTCTGTCACCCAGGCTGGAGTGCAGTGGCCCAATCACGGCTTATGGTAACCTCGAGCTCCTGGGCTCAGACGATCCATCCTCCTCAGCCTCCTGAGTAGCTAGGTCTGCAGGCGTGCTACCATGCCTGGCTAATTTTTTTATTTTTTTATTTAGTTTGTGTGTGTGTGTGTGTGTGTGTGTGTGTGTGTGTGTGTGTGTGTAGAGATGAAGTCTCGCTATGTTGCCCAGCCTGAATTTGAACTCCTGGACTCAAGTAATCCTCCTGCCTGGGCCTCCCAAGTGCTGGGATTACAGGCATGAGCCACCATGCCCAGACAGCATTTTGAAAACTATTATGTGTGATTTTTTTTTTTCCTTTGATCTTGGGGAGGCTAGGTATACTATAAATCTACTCTGTTCAAGGTGATAGCCAAGGCCAGGCATGATGGCTCGTACCTGTAATCCCAGTACTTTGGGAGGCTGAGGTGGGAGGATCACTTGAGCCCAGGAGTTTGAGACCAGCCTGGAAAATATTTTTAACAAGTACTGGAACAACAACATCTAATAGAGTTTCTGATACCCAGTGGTTGTTCATTAGTTAAGTGATTTGTTCTTTCAAAGCCGCTTTGCAGCTGGTACATTTATAACTTATGTCACAAAATGCCATGTTCCTAAATTACATGGACTTTTGGTATAACTTTTAAATAGTGGAGCTTGTTGATCCCAAGTTAGAATTACCAGGTGAGTGATCGGGAAAGAATACCTCAGGGTGACTGTTCCTCTTTTCTTTCCTTGGCTTTTTTGGTCTAGGGGGGGTATTAGCTCAGAACCCTTTACCGCTCACACCCTTGTGTTTCTGCCTTACTAGCTCACGAATGATTGACATCCAGACCAAGATGGCAGGACGAGCATTGGAGCTCCTTTCTCTGCCTGAGGATCAGCCCTGTTACCTGCTGGATATTGGGTGAGATCCTGGGGTCTGGTTCAGATGGTCTAGATGGTTAGAGTGTCTTTGCTACTCACACTGAATTCCTCTTTGCTCGCGTCTTCCAGCTGTGGTACCGGACTCAGTGGAGATTACCTTTCAGATGAGGGGCACTATTGGGTGGGCATCGATATCAGCCCTGCCATGCTGGGTAAGTATATCTTATTTGGCACCTTCATGGATTACCTTCATGCGTATAAAGCAGCTATGCATATCGTCTCTTTCCCCGGCTTTCTCTTTTCCAATGTAGATGCGGCCTTGGACCGAGAAGCAGTAGGAGACTTGCTTCTGGGGGACATGGGCCAAGGCATCCCCTTCAAACCGGGCACCTTTGATGGTTGTATCAGGTGAGGTTCTTCACTTCCTGCTTTTAATCCTGCAGGCCGGTGCTTCCCAAACCTGGTTGTGTAGCAGAATCACACAGGATACTTTCAAACATACATCCCTTCACATTTTCAGATTCATATGGTCAGAGCAAGGCTCAAGTGTATGTATGTATTTATTTTTTTTAATTTCCAAACTGTCTGCTCCTGTGACCTTGCATTGCCAGGTTTGGACACCACCGTTGGTGTGGATTCTGTTTGTTTTGTGTTTCTGGTGGGGGGGTTGCCTTTGAGCCTCTAAGAGATGTTGTGTGGGTCCCAGCAGTCATCTTGTTTTCTTATTTTCCGATGGTGTGAGTGTCCCCAACAGCTCTGTTCTCTTCAGTGGCTCCAGAGTTCTTTCTCCATCATCAGGGTCAGGTTTTGAGCATGTGCACAGCACAGTACTTTTTGATAAAAGATCTTAGGACATTGAAATTACTGTTAGAAACGTTTTTCTTTGCCTTTTGTGTGAGTTCTGTGTAGTATTTGGTGTGGTGGTTTGTTGGTGGGAGTGGAGGTAAGGAACAGGGGAGGAAGGTAAAATCATTCGCTTGTGGGGAGACATTCTTAGGTGATTCTGGGTTGACTGTTAGGGATACAGGATAGGGATCCAGGTGAGGAGGAAACATTTAGATTGGGAGATTCCCTTGTCCCATCTGGGAACAAGATGTGGGGGAGCATTTCAAGGGTAGCATTTTATTAATGATCAAATGATGTGTTTGAAGCTGCCAAAAGCCACAGGCCAGTGGCGTAGTCTGTATGTTTTAGAAGCAAGGGTCATTTTGTATTTTTAAGAGGTTTTTTTTGGATATATAATATAAAACATTTGCTATATGTAAGATATGGTGTAAGGTGCTTTGGAGTATGGGGAAATAAGACCGTCCCTGCTTTGAAGAATCTCCATGGTTTATTAGGTGCTGTAAGACAGCAGTCCCTAGCCTTTTTAGCGTCAGGGACTCATTTCATGGGAGACAGCTTTTGCATGGATAGAGGGGGCAGATCATCAGGCATCAGGTTCTCATAAGGAGTGCGTACCTAGATCCCTCGCATGTGCAGTTCACAATAGGGTTTGCACTTCTGAAAGAATCTCATGCCACCACTGCTCTGCAGGAGATTGAGCGCCGCATTCTCTCACCTGCTGTGTGGCAGGGCTCCTAACTGGCTACAGACCAGTACTGGTTTGTGGCCCATGGGGTGGGGACCCCTGCTGTAAGACATGGGCCAGGCAGCTGAACACAAGGCCATGTAGGGGTGTGCACAAGGGAGTCGTGGCACTTGCCAGAGCTGTGAAGGACCAGAAGGGCACAGGAAACCCCTGGGGGCTGGGAGGGATTTGGATAGTCAAGGAGAGGGCTGCTGAGTGAAGAAACAGTGAGCAAAGGTGCAGAAGCTGGTGGGAAAGGCGTCAGATCAGACGGATGAGGAGGAGGTGAGATCGTGTGGGGTCGGTTCCTTAGAAGACTTTTAAGCTGGATGCCGTAAAGTCTGTGCTTTATTCAGTAGGTAATAGCGAACTGGGAAGTGATGGGTCAGATCTGTGCTTAAGGCAGGTGGTTTTCAGGTGGAAGAGCAGAGAAGGAAGTTAGGTGGTTGAAGCGTTTACAGCGGTAGTGAGCGCTGAATGGTGGAGCAGCGCAGAAGTTGGGGGGCAGTTTTGGATAAGCCAGTGGGGTGGGGGCTCCTGCATGTGTGCACAGCAGTGAGGAGGGGAAAACCAGGAAAGGAGACGTAGTAACTGCTTGAGGATTTAAATCTGGGGAGCGTGAAAGCATTTGGTAGGTACAGTAGAAGGAAAAGACTCAGGAGGAGGGTGAATGAATGGCTGAGTGTCTAAGTTCTGTAAAGTGTGATTCTTTTGACTGGAGGAAGGGAGTGAGGGGTATGTGGGCAGAGACAGCCTTGACACACTGAGTCATTTTAAACTTGGGCTGCATGCAGAAACACGGTGGAGAAGATGTTTCTAGGGATTGGCTGAGGGATGTGAATGCTGCCTTCTTTTACCCTGTTTGTCCAGTGTTGTGCAGTTGCGACCTGCACTTTGCAAGAAGGGGAGCTGTGGGAGGAGGTTTCATCGGAAGATCCAGGGTGGTTGGTGTCAGAGTCTTGAAGAGGCGGGGCAGTGGTCGGGGTGGCTCCCTTCCTGACTAGGTTCATTCCTTTGTAGCATTTCTGCAGTGCAGTGGCTCTGTAGTGCTAACAAGAAGTCTGACATCCCTGCCAAGCGCCTGTACTGCTTTTTTTCTTCCCTTTATTCTGTTCTCGTAAGTATGAGATCTCTCCCCGCCTGGGCTGACTGCCTGTCCCTTGCCCTGCAGATAGAGTGAGGGGCTCGAGGCGTCCCGTGATGGCAAGGCCACTCAGATGGGACTGCGTGGGGTGGCCAGACGTTCTTGTGATTACGTCTGTACAGGTCCTCAGCCGACATAGAAGTTGAGGCTCAGTGGGCTGACATTCTCTCATCACACCCAGAAGACAATGATGTTAAAATCTGAGACCAATGTAGGAACTTGGAACAGGGCTTTCTTCTGTTGGTCACAACTTTGGTATCTGCTATTCTGAGTTTATATCAGAATTCAGTTTGGGGGCATGGACCCAACAGAAGGAGGACAGAGATGTTATAAATGTTACACTTACATCCCCAGAGGACACCTTTCAGAGGGATTGCATGCTTTGACTCCCCAGTCCTCCCTCCCTCCACTGCTGATACATATCCTGAGATGGGGAGCTGGATGGTGATTTACCGCCAGTAAGCCTTTATTAGCTGTATATGACTTTTATAACTGGTGGTGGTGTTGGTTTCAGTCGTTTGATTCTGTCTTTTTTTTTTTTCTGAGTCAGGGTCTCACTCTGTCTTCCAAGCTAGAGTACAATCATGGCTTACTGCAGCCTCCAACTCCTGGGCTCAAGTGATCTTCCTGCCTCAGACACCTGAGTAGCTGGGACTACAGGCATGCATCCCCATGTCTGGCTAATTACTTTATGTAGAAACGGTGTCTCACTGTGTTGCCCAGGCTAGTCTTGAAGTCCTGGTCTCGAGCAATACTCCCACCTCCATCTCTGAAAGTGGGATGACAGGTGTGAGCAACCATGGCTGGCCTGATTCTAAGTCTTAAACAATAAGTTATTTCACTTTTTGGAATGACCTGAGTATTTTTTGTCTTTGTAACCTTTCCTACCCCACCCTTAGCTTTTCTAGGGTGGGGTAGGAAATGACTATCTGAGGAAATTCTGAAAATGACTGTCTGAGGTCTTCTGTGTTACATGGGTTTGCCCACTTAAATGCTGGGGTTAATCCTGCAGTTTTGAGGGCCTTTGTGTTTGCTCTTCTCTGCTAAAAGACTCTTCCCTCATACATTTAAGTAGTCCTTCCTACTACTTCAGGTCACTGTTCAGGCATCCCTCAGAAAGAGGCTTTCCTTGAACCAAAAGTAAACTAAGAGCTGGGCGTGGTGGCTCACACCTGTAATCCCAGCACTTTGGGAGGCTGAGGTGGGAGGAGCACTTGAGCCAAGAAGGTTGAGACCAGCCTGGGCGACATAGCGAGACCAATAAAAAGGTAAAAAATAACTAGACTTCTTGGCACGCATGTAGTCCCAGCTTCTTGGAAGGCTGAAGCAGGAGAATTGCTTGAAACCAGGAATTTGAGGTTGCAGTGAACTATAATCACATCACTGCGCTCCACCCTAGGTGACAGTGAGACCCTGTCTCAAAAAACAAAAAAGTAAAGTGAGCTAAAAGTAAGCTCTGTCACTGTCCAACCCTTTGTCCCAATTTTTCTTTTTGGCACTTATCACTAATGTAAATTAGTTGCCTGCCCCACTAAAATGTGAGCTCCAGAATTCAAGGGCTGTCTCTTGGCACGCACGTATGGGGCTCAGTAAATATTGCGTGACTATACGAAGGAAGTAGCAGCCAGGTCCTGAGCTCATGCAGATCATTTGTAAGACAGTGACATTTCCATTGCTGGCAGGCCCGAGGATCCCGAGCTGTCCTGCAGCTGTACCCTGAGAACTCAGAGCAGGTGAGCCCCCTGGTGTGCGTGGAGACACGGGGGGGGGTCCAGAACACGTAGGCTGTCCTGCTCCTTACTCCTGCCCTCTTGTTGGGAAGGGACAGAACAAGGTACTTCATTCTGATTCGTGGGAAAAGGAAGGGATGAGCACCCTAGGGTGGTCCTTGTGGCCCGTGATGGCGTGTTTGATGACCTAATATCCTAAGAGGTGGGATCTGGGGGTGAGGTAGGATGCTTGTCTTCTCTTAATAGATGGGGTGGTATTACAGATAAGATAATATGATACCACTGATTTCTATAACCAAATAAGTAAACGGTGGGAGGGTGAGAGGACATCGGCAGTTGTCTGTTCCACGGCCTGTGAGCTCAGAATGATGGATCAGGAAGTACCGACTTTGAAAAACAAGTGAGGGGCCGTCCCTGACTGAGAACGTGAATGAGTCTGGCTTCCAATTGGTGGCCATTCACTTTCTGAGATTTGAGTGGGACGCTGGGTCCCTGGGCTTGAGAATGAGAGCAGTTGCTTTGTTCTGTCACTTCCCTGAGGGAGGTGTGTGCCATGCCAGGACCTAATCTGTACTTTCCTCTACTTGGCTTTTGGGGAATCAGAATTGGGAGACTCTGAAGAGGACATTCAGTTCTCCCAGGCAAGGTATTTCTTGGAACAGATTCGCTTCTTTTTTTTTTTTGAGTTGGAATCTCACTCTGTCGCCCAGGCTGGAGTGCAGTGGCATGCTCATGGCCACTGCAGCCTTGACCTGCTGGGTTTAGGTGATCCTTCTGGCTCAGCCTTCCAAGTAGCTGGATCTACAGATGCATGGCACCAGGCCCGGCTAGTTTTTTTTTGTGATTTATTGTAGAGACAAGGTCTCACCAAGTTGTCTAGGCTGGTCTTGAACCCCCGGGCTCAGACAATCCTCTCACCTCAGCCTCCCAAAGTTCTGGGATTACAGGCTGAGCCACTGCGCCTCACCGTTAGTTTTTTTTTGTTTTTTTGTTTTTTTTTTTTTCAGGCAAGTTTCTTAAGGAGCGTGGAGGTGAAGCTGTCTGCTCCTGCAGCTTCCCCTGCCTGACTCATTGCTTTTCTCTCCTCAGTTGGAGCTGATCACAACTCAAGCCACAAAGGCAGGCTTCACTGGTGGCGTGGTGGTAGACTACCCCAACAGTGCCAAAGCAAAGAAGTGAGTCAATGCTGCCTGGACCGCAGGAGGGAGGATAGTGGTGTGATCCTTTCATGCCACTCAGTGGACCAAAGTAGTGCTGGGGTGAATCACCAGGGTTCAGGCAGATGGGGGTGGGGGTTGGGGGAGTGGAGAACTTATCTCCCTGCAGGGCTTTATAAGCCTAGCCCTCACTTTGTACTTTTCTTGTTTCAGGTTCTACCTCTGCTTGTTTTCTGGGCCTTCAGCCTTTATACCAAAGGTGAGGGACCTTGGGTTTGTAGGCCCATGTCTTTTGGATTCTGGACTGTGGGGTTTAGCCTGAAGAGCACATTGGGAGAACACTGGCGGTCAAAGCAGGCCCAAACCCCAGTGTATGGAGCCTGGCGTGCTGAAATCCTCTGGAACTTGGAGGCAGAGACTTCTGCTCTCCAGGTCCCAGAAAGGAGTGTGGGTTCCTTCTTGTGGGGTTGGGCCTTGTTCCTGTTGGAAAGACTCACGCCTGGGTGCCCAGGCTTCTGGAGTAGGGCACATGGGTTGAGAGATCTCCAGGGTAATCTAAGAGCACTTTGGTTCCTGCAGGGACTGAGTGAGAATGAGGATGGAGAGGAGACCATGGAGTCCGTGTTCACTAATGAGAGGTAAAGCGATGGTTGAGCCCTGCCTCGGGTGCCGGGGGTGCTGCTGCCACAACATTTCTGTTTCCACCCAAGCCTCCTGGGGTCAGAAGCAGCAGTGACACCTAGGTGGCGGTAGAACTGGGGACCCCTTGGGAGCTGTGCCTGCTGCCGCCTTGGGCTGGCAGGCTGGAGTCTGGGGCCCTTCTGGATGTCCATGGGCAGCCTGCAGCCCTGGCTCCCTTCTTCGAGCCTGTGCATGCCCTTCCCCTTGCTTTCCCTCTTACTGTGCTTGGCCCCTGCCTCCCAGAGGCTGCCCTCCGCCGCGTTTCTTCTCGCTTCCTGTGGCTCCCCGTTCCTCTCCTGCACCCTTCTCTTTGCTCTCCTGGGTCATCCTCATCAACATGCACATGTGCTGCATGGTTCCCCTGTTGAGAAGAGACCCTCTCTTAATCTCAGAACAGTTCTCAACTTCTGCCTCATTTATCGACTTCCCTTTATAGCAGACCTCATGTGGGCCCCTTGCTTCTCCTCCTACCGCTTTCTCAGTCCCCTTGACAAGCTAATGTTTCTATCTTAGCACACATTGTTCTTGTCAAGGCCCTCACCCTCTTCTGTCTTGCCAAATCTATGCTCACGTCTTGCTTTTTGTTCTTACGTTAACTTGCCCATGCAGTAGAATCCGAGCTAGCCGATCGCTCCCTTAACACTTGCTTCACACGGCCTTCCACCCACTGTCCTGCTTTTCTCTTTGCTGACTGTTCCTTCTCAGTCCACTGCTGCTTCCTTCGCTGGAGTACCCTGGGTCCAGCCTGGATCCCTTGTTTACCTGTTGGGCTTTAAATACCAACTGTAAGTCCAACACTCAAATTTATATCTTTAGCCTCAGCTACCTCTGATTTCTCAGTTGCCTCCTCAGTGTCCGTACCCAGGCTTTCCGCCGGCATCTCAAACCAAACGTCTCTTGGTTTTCAGCCCCAAAGTTCTTTACCATTCTGCGCCATTCCTGACTTTCCCTAGTCTCGCATCCAGTCAATCCGCAGCGAGCCCTGCTGTCCCTTTGCTGCTCACCTTCTCTCCATTTTCAGCTAGCCTAAGTTCATGCTGCTCCTTTCCTGGACCACAGAGTAGCTGCCTGCTTTGTCGCTGTTTTCAGTCTTTGCCTCTTTCAGTTTATTTTTTGCACAGCAGTGAGACTGATTCTTTCCCTTTTCCCCAAAATATAGATCATGTCTCGTCATTTCTGTTTAGTATCTTAAGTTTCCCTCACCTTTGTTTTCCTTGACACCTTTCACTCACTGTTCTAAATCATATTTACCTGCTTATTTGTAGCCCCAGCTAGAATGAACATTTGGTAGGGAACAGTAGTATATTCCTGCATCAAGAATAGTGTCATGTTAGTCAAAAGTTCTCAGTATTTGTTGAATGAGTAATTGATTGTAAGGTAATGAAGAGGGAGATTATTTTCTAGTTCTGGTTGGTGTGAGTGAAAGGTCTTAAGACCTATTTAAGAGGAAAAATGAGCCGGGCTCGGTGGCTCAGCCTGTAATCCCGTGCCTTTTGGAGGCCTAGGTGAGAGGATTGCCTGAGCCCGTGGGTTCGAGACCCGCCTGGGCAACTTGGTGAGACATCTCTACAATAAATCAAAAAATAAGCCGGGCGAGGTAGTGCACGCCTGTAGTTCCAGCTACTCGAAAGGCTGAGGCGTAAGGATCGCCGGAGCCCAGCAGGTCGAGGCTGCGGTGGCCAGGAGCGGCCACTGCACCCCAGTCTGGGCGACAGAGTGAGACTCCAACTCAAAAAAAAAAAAAAAGGAAAAATGGGCAGAGAATGAATTAATTTGGAAAGTCCTCCAGTGGTGACAGTCACATGTGTTCCTTGTGTCCACCACAGGTTTTTACTGTCTGACCCCTTGGCCCTTGGTCACCTTTTTTTAGCGTCCCCAGCCCATTCCCTGTGGGGAACTGGGGGGCCTTCTGTATGACTTCTCTGCTAAGGCGCCCATCCCTTGCTCCCAGGGGAGTGATCCCATCTGCCTCACAGAGGAAGTCCCAGTTGTCTGACTCGCTCCATGCGTCTTAGGATCCCTCTTGTCCTCACACCGGTGTCTGCAGACGACATGCCCTAACTTTAGACGCGGGTAAGTTGAATGACCTGAGCGTCCAGTCCTCTCCTGTTTAAAAAGGGGGAGGACAGCGCCCTCCGCCTCGGCAGTGTGCTGCGGGCCCAGTACAGCCACTTTCCGCTTGCGGTCTGCAGGCTCCGACTCCAGCTCCTCAGAGTAGGTGGAATGTCCCTGCAGTCGGATCCATGTGGGACGCTTGTTAGAGATAAACGGGCAATTGGGGTGAAAAGTTTTTTGAGCCTTCACCGCGTTTATCTGGTCTACATGTGGGGGCCCAACTTTCTCACCTGTGTCTCCTTTCGTCCTTGCCACCTTGCCTCCACCTGCCCCGCCTCCACCTGCTCCCTGCAGGGCTGGCCCCACTGCCCCTGGAAGCCCATGCTTCGGAGCACGTCCCGTGTCACCTGCTCCCTTCGTGTCTCCTGACGACCTGCCCCCTTGCTCCTTCTTCAGCTCGGCTTTCGCCCCCACGGTCGCCCTTCTGGATTCCTTGGGATTCATCCTCCCGCGCCTCTAGTCCCCGGTTTGCAGCTGCCTCCTGATTTGTGCCGGCCTGTCGGACTCGGGTGTTGAGATGGCAGCTCCTTGGCGCATCACCACACTGATTTCTCTGGGTGGTCACCAGGGTCTTCTGAGTTGCTCTGGGCCTCTTTCCTCCTCCCCTTGCATGCCTTGGTCCTTCCTGTTCGCTTCCTCTTTCCCTCGTCTTCCTGCCTCTTAGCTGTGGACCCTCCCATGAACCATTTTTTCGGTACACTCTAGATGATGATATATCACTGTCATTGCATTGGTGAGCAGAGTTCTCAGTGACGTTCAGACCCCCGTGACCTGGCCCAGCTTCTTGTCCCTTGACTCCAGCAGCCTTCCCCTCCCTTCAGTCCCCCCACAGTGTGTTCAGTCGCTGTCACCTGGATGCAGCACACCTGTTTTCCTGCCTGTAGAAACACCAGCTCCTCTCTCTGCTTGTCTTTCTTGGCAGCTCTTGGGGCTCTCTGTTCTTGCTTGGGTGGTGCCCACCCCTGCCCAGTCGTGGGCTCTTGAAGGGCCAGGCTGGTTCTTGCCATTGTTGAACACTGTGGGCTCTGCCTGCGGGTGCTCTGTAAGTGGTTGGTACTCAGGTGGCAAGAAGCCCTCGTGTGACTTGTGCTGCGAATATTGATCCCAACTGCCAGGTGGTGTGTGGTTGGTGGGGGCCGGGCTTCCCTTGTTCCCAGGGCCTCTCTCCCGTGGGGCTGTGGGGAGGTCCCTTGCTCCTCAGCCAAGGCTGGAGGCCAAGATCAGCCCTTGAGGATCGTTGTCAGGGCTGCCACAAGCCGGGCAGCCCTGTTTTCCTGCCTCAGTCATTTGCAGTTGCTGGGAGTCCCTGCTGGGCTTATGCCAGGCAGTTTGACCCCAGAACCAAACTGGATCCCCAAGTGGCAGCACTGGGCACAGGGCCTCTGGCTTTCCTTGGGTGCAGCCAGGCACTCGTGAGCTTGACTTGTCCTTGGTGGCCCCCAGAGTGGCATGGCCCACTGCTTGCCCCGCAGACAGTGTCTGCACTTGCAGCAAGTGGTCCTCTGCCACAGAGATGCCTGTAAGGGAGTGAGGCCTCCTGCCCTAGCCCTCCCGAACTACGTGGGCCTGGTGGATGTTACCGGGGCGGAGGGTGTCCAGAGTGGGGCCCCCAACTTGGAGGGAGGCTCACCAGTGTCCCTGGCCTGGTTAATATGGTGCCACATGGGCCACTGCATCAGCTCACCCTGGGTCTCTGGCACAGGGTCCCATTCAGGATGACGAGGCGGGCGCTAGTGAGGAAGAGCCGAGCGTGGGTGCTGGAGAAGAAGGAACGGCGCAGGCGGCAGGGCAAGTGAGTGCCTGGCTGGACACCGGCTGGGGTCGCGGGTGGGGTGTGGGTGTCACGAGGGGCTTGCCTGCACCTGAAGGGTCCCCAGGGCTGCTTTGTTCTTCTTTTCTGAGACTGTCCTGTGACTTCTCCACACAGGGACGTCAGACCTGACACCCAGTACACTGGCCGCAAGCGCAAGCCCCGCTTCTAAGCAGTTGCCATGTCTGGTGGGGTGTGGCCACACAGTCACGAGCTGCGCCGTCCACACAGGCACTTGCCGCTGGAAAGTTTTCTATATTGAAGTGCTTACTTCATCCGTTGACCAAGTAGTGTTTAGAAAAGTTTTAAAGTTCTAAAAGTATTTTCTTCACTAAAAAAGTTCTGTCAGAATGTTATATTTTGTTTAAAAGCAATAAATCCCTTTTTGTGGAACTCTGGCATCTCCTAGCTCTTTATCAAACTTAAGTTCCTCTGCAGGTGGGGCTGCTGCCTGACTCCCCAGGCAGGAATTCGGTTTAGAGAACTTACATGCATAAAAGCATTCTTTTAATCTCTGAGGAACACAGGTAGATTCTTTTAGTTCAGGGCTTATTATACAGCGCACCAAAATGTGTAAACATTTTAAGAAAGGAAAAAAACTTTTCAAAGTGTAATACTCAAGCCGGACTCGGTAGCTCAGCCTGTCATCCTGCGCCTTTGGGAGGCTGAGGTGAGTGGATTGCCTGAGCCCGCGGGTTCGAGACCTGCCTGGGCAGCGAGACCTCATCTCTACAATAAATAAAAAAA